ATTCCCGCATTGATGCGTTCCGAGCTGGAGACTTCAGGAGACGACGCGGTCCTCACCTGAGCGATCCGGCACCATTCCCCCGCTTGAAGGTAAGACGGGAGGAAAAGGGGAGAGCACCGGCGCTCCACTCCTTCTCCATGCCCTCATTCTTTGCTCCGGGGGGGCTCTCAGCAGTGATTTTCCCCTGCTTATTTCTCTTCTCCCCCCCTCCCCCCCCCCCTCTTCCTGATGCATCCTGGAGTGCTGGGGTAGTCCTGGGAGAATGCCTGCAAGGGGAGAGCAGAGGACGAGCTCCGGCTGCAGGCTGGGGCTGGCGGGGGTTTGGAGGGGGGAGATGGACATGGAGAATTGCACAGCATTCTGCTCCCTGATAGCCTGTCTTGGGGAGAGTGGTCCAGCCAATGCTTTAGCCCAGGATGATAAACACCGGGATGCTCCAAGCTTGGTGCTGCTGTTCCTACAGCATCTTTAGTTCTAAAGCTGTATCTACAAAGGAGGAAGTGACAGCATCTCTCAGGGCTAGGGTGGGATGCTTTCCTTCACCTGAGTGCTCAGGTCGTGTCCTTGGCCACCCTGGGGACAGCTTGCTCTCGTTGCATGTGTGGTTTGGGGACAAAGCTGGCCCCTCTCAGGGCATTCACCCACAGCCATGTGGCCAACACCAGGGTCCTCCCTATCTGCTGTCCTGCCTCCAAAGGACATAGGAACCCCCTGCGTTGTCTGGGTCAGGCAGCAGAGCAGCCCCAAAGCAGTGAGAATGGAGAGAGATCCAGGGTTGAATGCAAGGAAGGTGACAGCAGGATGATCTGCTGCTTTGAGCACTATCTGGTTAATACAGCAGCTGGCTGGGGCTGAGCTCGTGGAAGCACATGGACGGTGTTTGTTCTGCAGAATGGGGGGGCTGTGGGGGAGAGAAATCCCCCGAGGGAAGATGGCTTTTCATTTCCCCCTATCGAGCGGTTTCAGACACGATTATTTATACTTGACATAACAGATCACCAAACTTGGAAGGTAGTGGGGGTGTGCTCATACTCATTAAGGTAGACAGTTTTCTGACAGAATAAATTAAAGGTAAGAGAAGACGGCACTCTGAGGTTCAACAGATTGTCTTCTAGCCTAAAAAAGAGCAGTGAAATCAGCATAAAACCTCGATGGTAAAATCGTGCTCTTCCATGATGGATGGCTGTCATTTTAGGAAAGCTGGCTGACATCCCGATGCTTAGAGTGCAGACAGTGCTCCTGGGTGACCTCACTGGAGCATCCGTACCGGTATGACTGGGGTTTCAGTCATTGCATCTGATGTCCTCACTGAGTAAGCAGCTAAATTATAATGCAGTTAAGGAAAGTGAGTTTATGTAAATTGTGCATAAACTCAGTGCACGGCTTGTCCTCACAGCTGCCTTTAGTTGCTGGCCCTGCTGTGGTGGTGTGTGAGTAACGGAATGCTGCTGGCAGCCTTTTGTGGCTGTTTCTCTTCTCATCTGGAATCAGCAGCAAAATGCACCGTGGCTGTCAGTCGGTGAAAAGAAATTTCAAACACCTTAAAGACAGTGCAGCTGTAATTAAGGCTGTAACCTCCTTCCTCTGCATGTCAGTGTTCCTGTCAGTGCAGAGCAGTGACAAGGAGTCTTAGGAAACAGTGCTGGTGCTCCAAAGAGATAAAGAATTTCGGCAAAATCCCCCCAAAGTGACTGATGCTGATTTATCACTCCATAGCTAGGGGCATGGCCAGCCAAGAGGTATTTGTATCTGGCAGTGCTCCTGATGTGACAATGCTGAGAAGGAGCAGGGGAGGAGTGGAGGAGAGGGGGCAGGTGTTGGGTTGAGCTTGCCGCTCATTCCCGTTCTAATTTACACTGTTCCCCACGTCGTTGTCTATCTCCTCTCCTCGTGATCTAATTTATTGCAGTTGGCAGGATTTGTTCACCTTTTGTTAACAAAAAATCATGTTCCAACATTGCAGCTTGGCAGAGAGACTAAAAATATGTAGGGTGATGGACTCTGACCCTGCCCAGACTTTTCAGCCCCATTGGGATCACAGCTGAGGCCAATCCAAACAAGAGACATCAGCAACCTCCAAGCCCTGCGATCCCTGCAGGAGCAGCCCGGAGCACAGGTCAGCTGCAAAGGTTGGAGGAAGATGAAAAGTCGTGACAGCATTTTGAATCATCCTCAGACAGCTTAACGAGGTCCGTGACCCATTTAGGGCAGCTCAGAGCACCAGGGGAGGACCTGGCTGCCATGGATGGTGTGGGTCGCAATGTGCCTGTGTCAGACACGGCGTGGGGACGGGGAATGGGGCTGAATCAGGCTGAAGTCACAAGGGCTGGCTCTGCAGAGGACAGGCGATGTGTTTTCAGCTGATGATGCTTGTTGGAGAAGTCATCCATCCGTGGGAAGGCTGAGGCTGAGGAGCGGTGACAAAGCCACTGCTGGGGATGGGCTGCTCGGCATCCAAGTGCTCCTGGCTCCCAGCTCCTCTTCTGTTAGAGGAGAATTTTGGGGCTCGGCAGTGCCAGCACAGCTGATGTCACGCCGTCCCTGCCTGTGTGCTGATGCTGCACAGTGCAGACTTGAGGTGAGTCAGGTGTGGAGTTTTGGTCTCCCTCTCCCTTCAGATAGGGATCGCACCCGCGATGAGGCAGAGCTGGTGCTCATCTTCATACAGGCTGAGCCAAGGCTTGCTCCCCAAGCCCCCGCCAGCTGTCCCCAGTGCTTCTCTCCGCATTCCTTTTCCCCAGCACTGAAGCCATTCACAGTGACAAACACTAATCCAGGCAGTCTATGAGCTCACCAAGCTGTGCTGGGCGGGAACACACACACATTGTCCCCATCTGAGCATGAGCTGACAGCACCTGCCCAGCACTGCTCAGGAAAGGAGCAGGGCTGCGTCCCACCACCCTGGGGCACACCACTGTGCTTTTATCACAGAGATGGAGACTCGTCATATTCTCCTTGTGACATTATCCTTGCAATCTGCCCTTGGTGCATTTCCAGAAATAGTCGGGTCCACAGTAGACACGGGTGACATCTGGATGCATTACTGTTGAGTTTGGAAACATTCAGTAAACAAGACAGGATCTATTGTTTAAAGGTTATTTCGAGAGACTCCGGGCGAGTTATCCGGCCATGCAACGAGGAAAGCCTTAATGGCACTGTGATAATTGCCTTTTTCTAAGAGACCTTTCAGAAGGAAGTTAGCAGAAACCCGAAAGAAAGTCTTAGCCTGTCCTCGGGACGTGGTCCAAACAGAAAATATGTGGATTTGTGTCTGTTTGCTTCAGTGCTGTTGGATCAAGGCTCAGCAGTGTGCACCTGACTGTTGGCTCCTTACCTCGCCCTGAGGGCACTCAGCAGGGGATGAAGGTGATGATATCCCCATCAGCAGGGATGCAGCCTCTGCACCACCAGCTTTAGGGATGGCTTTAGGCCACACCGTGGCTCTGCCTTGGGCACAAGCTCATCGCAGGCTTTGAGCTGCAGAAGCCCATAAACTCATTAGTGTGTGAATTGCAAGCGGTGGGTGCTCTGCATGGCTGAGATTTCCTAACTCTGTGCTGGAAGGGAGCAAGCTGGGAGAAGTCTTTTGTCATTTTATATTTCCCTGGGCAGAGCAGTCCCTTGTTCTTCAGCAGCCTGAGAGTCTCAGCTGGACCGTAGTGGACCCAAGTGGCCCCTGGTAGCACTGCCCCTTCCTCCTGCACCTGCAGAGCTGGCATCAGCCAGCACCACGCTGCCCTTTCACCCACCAAGAGGTTCGGGCTGAGGTTAAAGCTTTAATGAAAGCAAACACTTGTGGTGAGACGAAATGCTGGAGGATGCACAGGGGACTCCTGCAGCCTGTGATGGGCTCAGCCATCCCTGTGCCCCACATCATGTCCTTACTCAGGTCGCTTTCCCCTAGGAAATAGTGCATGCAATGAGCTGATGTGCTGAGCTGCTCCAAGCTCCGAGCGAGCATCCCCCTTTGAGCCAAGCATGTTGCAATGGCTTTGCCCTGCACTTTACATCCGTATCCCTTTTGCTCTTGGAGTGGATTTGGATTCATTTCAAGCTCTGTTGTGGGTTTTCCTGCCCGAACTCTGGCAAACCATTAACTCTTGTTTTTCTGTTTCTGTTGTCTGCCTTTTCAGCCAGACTGCAAGCTGCTATGTGCAGGGAATCCCCCACGCCGGGCTGCCTGCATTCCCACAGTGACCCTGCAGTGGTTATCTCTGCTTTTCCATCACTCCTGGCCCCCAGCAGATGCTGCCCAAGGTGCGGATGCTCGAGCTCTGCTCGCATCCCTCTAGCGGTAGCCACACTGCTCCTGCCAGCTGTGGGGATATTATGGGTTATATGGGGTTGTCTTAGGGAAAACCTGGCCAGCCCTTCAGTGTTTAGGTTGATCAACAGTCAGTAGCAGCTCTGCTTTGATATAAACAGTTGCTGCAATTTGATTCTGCTGCATCTGCAGTTGTAGAAATCACTCACGGTACAATAGAGCGCATATTGCTGCCCTTTAGTTAACAAAATATGCGTGTGTTACATAGCAAGATATGGTGCCTTTAGTGGAAATGCAAGGCATGCTCCCTCAGGGGAAAAAACTACAGTATTGATGCTGCCGGAGACTCAGCTTTGAGCAGGGATTTGAGATTTTGGTGCCCTGGGTGCTGGAGAAGCTCAGGAGATACGTGGCCTCGAGGGCTGTGCAGTGCCTGCAAGCAAGGATTGGCAGGAATGCCATTTGGAAGGCTCTCATGTGGAAGGAAAAGGATCTTTCTCCTTCTGATGGCATTGCCTGCTGGGTAGCTCAGCCCTGGGAAGATTATCAGTGGGATCTGGGGGAAAATAGCTGTGCTGCCTGCGTGGGAGTGGAGGTGGGAGCAGGGGGATAATGAATGTTGATTGGGGCTTGCCATTAGGCAGACTTTGTGGTTGGGTTGTGATTTTGCTGTTATTCACTTCATTGTCCCTGTAGGACTGATTTGCAACAGTTTAGCATTGCTGACAGCCCAAGAGTTATTCCCGATTCTCACAGTGGCTGGTGGGATTCAGCCCATGGAAAGTGGGATTTTCTTGGTGGCGTTTATTTTCCCTTGAGCTTCTG